TCAAAGGGCCTTTGGAAGACATGCTCGATGAGGCGCTTGGTATGCGAAAACGGATGAGGCCTGCCTCGCGAATGGAGTGCGCCTAAGCGTTCACACAGCAAGGAGGGGAATAGGTCTGCACGAGACGCCGCCCACTGGGCTAGCTATGGGCGTATCTGTGAGCCGTTCGTGCGCGACGCACGGGGTTAAGCGCCTGAAGCGGTAAAGGACACACACACCTTGATAAACGTAGGCCCCGCTTTTTGCATCTGGCTCGTCAAATAGCCGTACCACCAGACGGCGCCCCACTTGTCCCCATGAAGCCTGTCCTCGGGCCTACCAACGAGCAGCATGGGTGCAGTGAAAAGCACCGGAAAGAAGAGCCAGACCAGATAGATGAATCGCCTGGTGGTAAGGACGGGCTCCCAGACATAGTCGTTCAAGAACACGCATATGCGCACAATGATGCGGGTGTCGGCAGGCTCAGCGGGCGAGAGGATGGTTGGTGAGATGTCTGCGGTTGAGGGACATGGCGCGGGACATGGAATGAGGGTCGGGGAAGCGAAGATGGCAGGGAGAAGCTGAGAGGGAGCGCCGGGCGAAGCGTAGAACGCAAGACCGCCAGCGACGGGCACAAGCCAGAGGAGTTTTCTGCCGAGGAACGGAATGGGACCTGGGGCGCGTGTAAAGAATTGAGTCGAGAATGGCCGTGTCGCGGGCCGTGTGCGGAGAGCGAGCGAGGAGGCAGTATGCCAATGGGAGAAACCGGGAGGGCGAGCGGAGGCGAAGACGGCGTGTCTGAGGCCTAGCGGGAGGACAGAGAGACGGAGGGCCATGGAGAGAGTCTACGGATGCATCCTGAGCTCAGCACAGCGGACGCCGATGCCCTCTCCGTCCATCGCCTGTCGTCATTCGCCACACGTGATCTCCATCCACCACGCGTCACTGCACTTGGCACTCGCGCAACGATCGGCGATCGAGCGAGATGCAGCTAACTGTTACTGTGCGTCCATCCTGTGCGTACTCGTCACACACGCCTCCATTCTTCCGCGTCAACCTGTGAGCATCCCCGCCGCTCGCCATCCCTCAGCCCTCCTCGTCTCATTTCGTCGCAGCTGCCCCTCCGAGTCCGCTGACACAACATGCGCACGCGAGTCGTCGTCCCTCACGTCAGTCGTCCTCTACGCTCTCGTCCTCGCTGGCCACGACCATGCGCAGCCGCACGCCAGCGTCCGCATGCCACAACGCATTCTGCTCACGCCGTCCGTATGTGCTCACTTCTTGCCGTCCGCGCGCTTGAATGCAGATGCCTCTCGCGCCATCGCGCGAAATGGTCGGCCGCACAGCAGAACGCGCTCGACCCGATGGTGCTGACCGGCACTGACGCCAGACGCCGCGCGACTCCAGAGCCGCGTTTCTGTCTGCAGGCCACCGGTGAGTGCGTGCGCAACCAGAATGCACGACGATGTCTCACCGCTCCGTGCCCAGGGTCCACGGAAGACGTCGCGGTCAGTAACATGCCATGCGCCATGGGCCATGCGATGACCTTGGACTCGTCGCGCCCGCGCTCCACGTCCACCGGGGCAGCCGCTGTCGACCACAAGGCTCGCCAGGACAGCGTCGACGGGGGCGCGCGCGAGCACACGACGGGTGACGCGGGAGCAAGACACGCGCAAGAAATCGCTCGCACGCGGGCACGCGGCCGAGCCGTCAGCAGCGCGCACCGTGGGCAATGGCGCATGCGCGTGCGACGGACGACGAGCAGTAGACAACATCCTACCCGCGTCAAGGAAACGACGACCGGCACCGCGAGCGTGCCGCCAGAGGAGCGAGATTCAGACGCACAAGGCGGAGACTGCAGGGCACGGCGAAGACCTCGAGCAGCGTCCGTTCGCCCCAGCATCCTGTGCACCCCGTCAGCTGCAAGTAACGCGCCCGCGCCGGACGCACAGCCTGATCTCAGGGAATCCTGTCCGTGCGTGCCGTCGTTGTCCCGCGCCATCGCACTCACTTCGCGCGCAGCACACACAACGCGCGTGGGTACGCCGAGCGTTCCTTTATTCCCGGTCAGTCTCTACTCACACGCGTACATCTCTCGCTACCTGTCTACTGACCATCTCGCCTCTTTCATGTCCCTGACAGCTCGCTTCGCCCGCCGTCCGCCGTCCGACGACTGCCCCAGTGCGCCTCCATCCACCCGCCGCCGCCGCCGGTGCGTCAGAGCAGCGACCAGGACACGAATCGTCCGCGGTGTCGGGCGCCGTCGATCGGTCACACATCGCCCGCGCCGCCAAACTACGTCTGACGCACAACGCAACGGACCGGGTTCAGCAAAGGATGATCTCTCGCACATTTGCTTTGCCCGCGCTTTGCGTGCGCTGAACAGCTTCGGTAAGCTTTGCGTCTGTACAGCGTGTCCAGGCACGCAGAAATAACAACGCCACGCTGGGCCGAGCCCGGGCATAGTCGACATAATCCGTCGGACGCGGACGCACACATTCACACCCGCGCCGCTTCGTCTTCTCCCGCGGCGGGTATCTAACGGCGGTCGCTTGACGATCACGCGGCCGCTATGTTGATGGAATGAGGCCGCGCGCAGCTACCTGCCCGACGTCCGGACAGCGTTAATCGTCTCTTGGCTACTTCACG